TTCTCCGATATAATGTGGCCCAAGTATCTGATATGAGTCCTCCCAAATTCGCTATTCTTGTGGTTAGCTACCCACTCATGTTGCAGCAATAGACTTAATACACATCTCACATGCTCTAAGTGATCTTCCCACGAGCTACTGTACACCAAAATATCATAAAAAAACACTAGGACAAACTTCCTCAAGTGCGATTTCAACAAGCCATTCATTGCACTTTGGAATGTGGCAGGGGCATTGGTAAGCCCGAAGGGCATTACCATGAATTCGTAATGCCCCTGGTGTGTCCTAAAAGCAATTTTTTGGATATCCTCCCCTCCCATTCGGATCTGATGATACCTAGCTTTTAGGTCTATCTTGGAGAAGTATTTTGCGCCCCTCAATTCATCAAGCAACAACTCTATCATCGGTATGGTGAATTTGTCCGGTTTAGTGGCTCTATTAAGAGCCCTATAGTCTATGCAGAAACGCCAACTCCCATCTTTCTTCTTAACGAGGATGACCGGGCTAGAATACGGGCTAGTGCTGGGCCAAATAATTCCCATTCTCAACATTTCATCCACCTGCTTCTCGATTTTCCCCTTTAACAAGTGGAGGTATCTGTATGGCCGAACGTTAATGGACCTATCCCTTCCTCCAATATGATTTTATGCTCCATCCCACGTTCTGGAGGTAACCCGTGAGGCTCTTGGAACACCTGCTAGAATTCTGACAGCGTCTCTTCCAACTCTTCTCGTTGCCTCACCGTCAACTCCTGTTCCTTTTCTACTCTTCCAGCCACATCCAACTGTCTTAATCCCTACATTACTGCCATTGTCTCAACTTCAGTTATCTTGAGCATGGCCGCAGGGGCTATCACTTCCCGTGCTAATGTTGGATCTCCTCTAATTATTACTTCCCTTCCTCCCTGTTTAAAGGACATGGTTAGCTTGCCCCAATTGGTCACTACTTCTCCCAACTTTGCCAGCCAATCCACTCCCAGAATCACGTCGACACCTCCCAATTCGAACACGTGATACTGCTCTGCAATCTCAACTCCACCCAGCTGTAACACTACTCCTTGATAGGATCCTTGTGTCTGTTTTCGCTGTCCATCACCCAAGCAAACTGGATGCGTCTGGCCTTTGTTCACCTCCAATTGGAGCTCCTCAACCATTGCCTTTGATATAAAGTTGTGGCTGGCATCACTGTCCACCATGATCAACACCACCTTATCCCAAGCTCCCTTGAAGTTTCATGGTTCTCGGTTGAGTCATCCTCCTATAGAGAGTGATGAAAAAAGTTAACATAATGATCTTGTGAAAGTTAGTCAAGGTAGCTATTTGGATGTACAAATCTAAAATGGAAATTGTATATGTTATTTAAAGTGGGTTACTTTCTAAGTGTATATATGAAAGTTTGATAGGTATTGTTTTAATGAATATTTTTTCTTAAGGAAACACAAATAAACACTGATGCAATTAAAAGGTTTGTTTATATTGTTAATGAAGTTAAAGTGTGTAGGTAAAATTATCATTTAACCGATAAAGAAATTGGTTAGCATTGTAAAATAAAGAAATGCTCATAATATTATAAAGTCTGTAAAGTGAATTTAGCTTATAACAATCTATAATTAATTGGACTGGATATAGAATTAAAATCTATAGCTGATATAAATTTTGATATATTTTAATTTTCAAATTTAAAATATATCAATATAAAACATTTTTTAATATGTAAAAAAAATAATGCTATTAAATCAATTGATTTTATTTATTTATTTTTTAAATTTAAAAATCAAAATTTAAAATTTGAACAAATTTAAATTTAAATTTAGGAACTAAAAAATTATCTAACCCAAAACAATTCATATTCCCACTCCATCTTTATATCTATTGCAAATTCTGCAAAACCAATACTCAACCATATGCCTGATTTATAAATACCCACCCATCTTACTACAAACAAATACCTAACCCGTCTTCACATCTTACTAATTTTACTTTTATAAATATAATTTATATTTTTTATTTTATCTTTTAAATTTTATAATTATTTTTTAAAATTTAATTGATTACTAATTTAAAATATAATTATTTTTTAAAATTCATATTTACTAGTTATTATAATACTTTTTTATCTTTTATACAGGGTTTTTTTTATTGTTTTTCTGTTTCTTTCCTTTTCGGAATTATATATGCAAAAGTCCAATTTCAACTTGAGTAGGTCAATTTCATATCAAAATTTCCGAACCCAACCAATCAAAACCACCATCCTACCCCCGAAACCCAGAACTATTCGAACCCGCATTTGACCCACCCACCCGATTTCTAATCTCCTCACCAACGCCCAATTTGGGTATACCTATCAAAATCGGATCCAGATCCTAACACGTATCATCACCGGGTTCTCTGTCCGTCTCCCTTCTCTCCTAACCCTATCATTTTCTGCCGGACCCTCTTATCGGACTCTAACATCATAACCACCACCCACTCTCTCTCTCTAAGTAAGACTCTCTCTCTTCAATTCAATTTTCTTCCCTTTTTCTTTAATTGGAACTCTTAATTGCGTTATATGACGGTTCAATTTATCTGAATTGCACAACAATTTTGTGAAATTTGGCTTTTATTTAGAGCTTGTTGTATACAGGCCACAAAATTGTAGCAATCTATGTTTTAAATTCCAGACATACCCAGTTTGCTTTTTTTCTTTATTTTTTTTCCCTTCAATTTACTGTGACTTTGATGTTTATTTAAGGTTTAAGTTAGTTTGAGTCAAGATATATCTAGATTCTGATCTAAACTAATTGTTCTTGCTATGCTTTTCTGAGTATGCTGAGTTTCAAGGTTTTGTTTGTTAACTTGAGTAGGGTTTTAAATTGCAGTTGTAATTGTGATCATCATAGTTAATTAAGGAATCTTGTAGAGCAACCGTGATAAGGTCTGTGATCTGATGCGGCTGTGATATTGATAATTAAGATGATTGAGTTATTGGCAATTAAGATGATTGAGTTTTAGCCGCCTCATGTGAGGTAGGTTACAATATAAAACCTCGCTTTAAAGGAAGATATCTGGTTTAGGAATATAGGTTGTTGTTGTGATAAGGTTTATCCAAAGATTTCACAAGATATTAGTGAGTTTATTATAAGATAAGCTTTAGCCATTTATATCTTTGTCTAATTCATGAAAGAGTGAGGGGTGAGCCTTGCTGCAATAGCAAAGTTGCAGCCTTATGACATAGAGGTCACAAGTACAAACCTAGAAAAGTTTGCTTGCAGGGTAAGATTGTGCATATTTATATTTCCCTTCCCCAAACCCCACTTGGTGGANCGATTTTCCCCTTTAACAAGTGGAGGTATCTGTATGGCCGAACGTTAATGGACCTATCCCTTCCTCCAATATGATTTTATGCTCCATCCCACGTTCTGGAGGTAACCCGTGAGGCTCTTGGAACACCTGCTAGAATTCTGACAGCGTCTCTTCCAACTCTTCTCGTTGCCTCACCGTCAACTCCTGTTCCTTTTCTACTCTTCCAGCCACATCCAACTGTCTTAATCCCTACATTACTGCCATTGTCTCAACTTCAGTTATCTTGAGCATGGCCGCAGGGGCTATCACTTCCCGTGCTAATGTTGGATCTCCTCTAATTATTACTTCCCTTCCTCCCTGTTTAAAGGACATGGTTAGCTTGCCCCAATTGGTCACTACTTCTCCCAACTTTGCCAGCCAATCCACTCCCAGAATCACGTCGACACCTCCCAATTCGAACACGTGATACTGCTCTGCAATCTCAACTCCACCCAGCTGTAACACTACTCCTTGATAGGATCCTTGTGTCTGTTTTCGCTGTCCATCACCCAAGCAAACTGGATGCGTCTGGCCTTTGTTCACCTCCAATTGGAGCTCCTCAACCATTGCCTTTGATATAAAGTTGTGGCTGGCATCACTGTCCACCATGATCAACACCACCTTATCCCAAGCTCCCTTGAAGTTTCATGGTTCTCGGTTGAGTCATCCTCCTATAGAGAGTGATGAAAAAAGTTAACATAATGATCTTGTGAAAGTTAGTCAAGGTAGCTATTTGGATGTACAAATCTAAAATGGAAATTGTATATGTTATTTAAAGTGGGTTACTTTCTAAGTGTATATATGAAAGTTTGATAGGTATTGTTTTAATGAATATTTTTTCTTAAGGAAACACAAATAAACACTGATGCAATTAAAAGGTTTGTTTATATTGTTAATGAAGTTAAAGTGTGTAGGTAAAATTATCATTTAACCGATAAAGAAATTGGTTAGCATTGTAAAATAAAGAAATGCTCATAATATTATAAAGTCTGTAAAGTGAATTTAGCTTATAACAATCTATAATTAATTGGACTGGATATAGAATTAAAATCTATAGCTGATATAAATTTTGATATATTTTAATTTTCAAATTTAAAATATATCAATATAAAACATTTTTTAATATGTAAAAAAAATAATGCTATTAAATCAATTGATTTTATTTATTTATTTTTTAAATTTAAAAATCAAAATTTAAAATTTGAACAAATTTAAATTTAAATTTAGGAACTAAAAAATTATCTAACCCAAAACAATTCATATTCCCACTCCATCTTTATATCTATTGCAAATTCTGCAAAACCAATACTCAACCATATGCCTGATTTATAAATACCCACCCATCTTACTACAAACAAATACCTAACCCGTCTTCACATCTTACTAATTTTACTTTTATAAATATAATTTATATTTTTTATTTTATCTTTTAAATTTTATAATTATTTTTTAAAATTTAATTGATTACTAATTTAAAATATAATTATTTTTTAAAATTCATATTTACTAGTTATTATAATACTTTTTTATCTTTTATACAGGGTTTTTTTTATTGTTTTTCTGTTTCTTTCCTTTTCGGAATTATATATGCAAAAGTCCAATTTCAACTTGAGTAGGTCAATTTCATATCAAAATTTCCGAACCCAACCAATCAAAACCACCATCCTACCCCCGAAACCCAGAACTATTCGAACCCGCATTTGACCCACCCACCCGATTTCTAATCTCCTCACCAACGCCCAATTTGGGTATACCTATCAAAATCGGATCCAGATCCTAACACGTATCATCACCGGGTTCTCTGTCCGTCTCCCTTCTCTCCTAACCCTATCATTTTCTGCCGGACCCTCTTATCGGACTCTAACATCATAACCACCACCCACTCTCTCTCTCTAAGTAAGACTCTCTCTCTTCAATTCAATTTTCTTCCCTTTTTCTTTAATTGGAACTCTTAATTGCGTTATATGACGGTTCAATTTATCTGAATTGCACAACAATTTTGTGAAATTTGGCTTTTATTTAGAGCTTGTTGTATACAGGCCACAAAATTGTAGCAATCTATGTTTTAAATTCCAGACATACCCAGTTTGCTTTTTTTCTTTATTTTTTTTCCCTTCAATTTACTGTGACTTTGATGTTTATTTAAGGTTTAAGTTAGTTTGAGTCAAGATATATCTAGATTCTGATCTAAACTAATTGTTCTTGCTATGCTTTTCTGAGTATGCTGAGTTTCAAGGTTTTGTTTGTTAACTTGAGTAGGGTTTTAAATTGCAGTTGTAATTGTGATCATCATAGTTAATTAAGGAATCTTGTAGAGCAACCGTGATAAGGTCTGTGATCTGATGCGGCTGTGATATTGATAATTAAGATGATTGAGTTATTGGCAATTAAGATGATTGAGTTTTAGCCGCCTCATGTGAGGTAGGTTACAATATAAAACCTCGCTTTAAAGGAAGATATCTGGTTTAGGAATATAGGTTGTTGTTGTGATAAGGTTTATCCAAAGATTTCACAAGATATTAGTGAGTTTATTATAAGATAAGCTTTAGCCATTTATATCTTTGTCTAATTCATGAAAGAGTGAGGGGTGAGCCTTGCTGCAATAGCAAAGTTGCAGCCTTATGACATAGAGGTCACAAGTACAAACCTAGAAAAGTTTGCTTGCAGGGTAAGATTGTGCATATTTATATTTCCCTTCCCCAAACCCCACTTGGTGGAGGAGCCTTGTGCATTCGCCACCATTATTTCAGAGGTGGGACCGGCATCAGCTTTTGATTTTATTTTACCCAGTCATCCTTAAATGCTTTGCTACTTCACAAATTTTGAAGTTTTGACTTTGTCCTACAACATTTTGGGTGATTACTTATCACTTAATTTTGTGTGATGTGTAGAGTGTTGGTAATCTGAAGCCTATGCGATGGAAATATCAAATGATCCAGGTACTAAGAAACCAAAAAGGCTAACATCGGTTGTTTGGAATCACTTTGAAAGGGTTAGAAAGGCTGACATCTGCTATGCTGTTTGTGTGCATTGTAATAAGAGACTTAGTGGATCAAGTAACAGTGGAACTACTCATCTGAGAAATCACTTGATGCGGTGTTTGAAAAGATCAAATTTTGACGTGTCTCAATTACTTGCTGCAAAGAGAAGGAAGAAAGATAATACCATCAGTCTAGCAAACATTAGTTTTGATGAAGGTCAGAGGAAAGAAGAATATATAAAGCCAACGATTATCAAGTTTGAACAAGAGCATAAGAAGGATGATATCATTAGCTTCGGAAGTAGTAAATTTGATCAGGAAAGGAGTCAACTTGATCTTGCACGCATGATCATATTACATGGATACCCATTGAGCTTGGTTGAACAAGTAGGATTCAAGGTCTTTGTGAAGAACCTCCAGCCTCTCTTTGAGTTTATGCCAAACAGTGCTGTAGAGATTTCTTGTATAGATATCTATAGGAGGGAGAAAGAGAAAATGTATGATATGATAAACAAACTACAAGGTAGGATTAATCTGTCTATTGAAATGTGGTCTTCAGCAGAAAATTCTTCGTATTTATGCCTGTCTGCTCATTATATTGACGAGGAATGGACATTACAGAAGAAAATCTTGAACTTTGTCACACTTGATTCTTTGCACACTGAAGACTTACTTCCAGAAGTGATTATCAAATGTCTCAATGAATGGGATATTGATGGCAAGCTTTTTGCCTTGATACTTGATGATTGTTCCATAGATGATGACATCACCCTTAGAATAAAGGAGCGAGTTTCTGAGAAAAGGCCTTTCTTAAGTACTCGTCAGTTACTTGACATACGCTCTGCAGCACATCTCATAAATTCCATTGCTCAAGATGCCATGGATGCGTTACAGGAAGTGATCCAAAAGATTAGAGAGAGTATCAGATATGTTAGAAGTTCACAATTAGTGCAGGCAAAATTTAATGAAATTGCTCAGCATGCTACAGTTAACACGCAGAAGGTGTTGTTTCTTGATTTTCCTGTTCAGTGGAAGTCTACATATCTCATGCTTGAAACTGCGGTAGAATACAGGAGTGCTTTTTCTCTCTTCCAAGATCACGATCCCTCTTATTCATCAACACTAACTGATGAAGAGTGGGAATGGGCCACTTCAGTTACTGGATACTTAAAACTTTTAGTTGAAATTACAAACGTATTTTCGGCCAACAAATTTCCTACTGCTAATATATATTTCCCTGAGATTTGTGATGTCCATATTCAGTTAATTGATTGGTGCAGAAGTTCAGATAGTTTTCTTAGTCCCATGGCTTTGAAGATGAAAGCCAAATTTGACAAGTACTGGAGCAAGTGCAGTTTGGCATTAGCTCTCGCTGCTGTTCTAGATCCTCGGTTTAAAATGAAATTGGTTGAGTACTACTACTCCCTGATTTATGGCAGCACTGCTCTGGAGCGTATCAAGGAAGTGTCTGATGGTATCAAAGAACTTTTTAACGCATATTCTATTTGTTCAACTATGATTGATCAAGGCTCAGCCTTGCCTGGTAGCAGTTTGCCTAGTACTAGTTGTAGTTCCAGAGACAGGCTAAAAGGCTTTGACAGATTCCTTCATGAGACATCACAGAGCCAGTCTATGACATCAGACTTGGACAAGTATTTAGAGGAACCCATCTTTCCACGTAATTCTGATTTTAACATATTGAACTGGTGGAAAGTCCACATGCCAAGGTACCCAATTTTGTCTATGATGGCACGTGATGTTCTAGGGACTCCAATGTCAACTTTGGCTCCGGAATTGGCATTTGGCACTGGGGGCAGAGTGCTAGATTCTTCTCGTAGTTCACTAAACCCAGATACAAGAGAGGCTTTGATATGTACCCAAGATTGGCTCCGAAATGAATCTGGAGGTATGTATTTATCTTCTACCCTTTTCCACCCATAGAATAATGTTGATTGATTTCTGATTCTGATGCATTATTTTTTCTAACTCTTGTCAGATCTAAATCCATCCCCAATCCACTCTGCTCTACCTCTTCTCATCGAATGAAGTTAATTTTACAATGGTATGCTTCAGTAAAACTGGTGACATGAGTTCCTAATCTCTCCAGACTCCATTGTCGAATATTTTATTTTTTATGTGCTTGATTTCCAAGGCCGATGGGTCGGTGACCAGTTCATGAATAATCTTTTACGATTTTATTTTATAATTTCAGGCCTTATGGAAGAAGCATCTTAGAATTCTCAAATTGGCCCTTGTTCCCCGCGTCATTTGTAGCAGGGAAGTGATCTATCTTTGTGAAAATATTCTGTGAAGATGCACTGTATATTCTTAGACCAACAATGTAGATTTTTTTTATACTTATAGAGATCTCTTCTCGGTTAGATGCTTTTATTGGACTAGCATTCGGCTGAATCTGATTTTGTATAGAGGGTTGCATGCCCTTGATATCAAAATCGCTCCTTGCCTGAGTTTTCTTTCGTTTCACTGTTCACATAATAAAGTTGCACTAAATGAATGATCTTAACTAATAAAGATCACTTCAGAATGGTATGTTTTAAGTATCCTTCATCACCTTTATAATACGAAGTTTTTATCCACACTTTTGTAATTAAACATGAGAGAAAGGTTAGGATAGATCACAATTGTTAAGTGCAATATTAATCCTGTTAGGAGAGTGATATATATATATATATATATAGACACACACATTCGCACACCTCTTTTGAAAGATATCTATTATACATCTTTTGTTTCTTTTTCTTTTTTATTCTTTTTTCTTTTATTATGTCATTGTTCATAAAACATTTCCCGTCTTGTTATTAAGGTTAGTTCACACCAAGCCTCCCAACCCTTTCCAAGTAATTTCTTCTCCAACTATCCTCTGTTGTCTCCAGCGGCAACTATCCGCTGCTGTCTAAGAAGGTGATTATGGATAGTGACATTTTTTCTTTCCTTTCTTGGCCATTATTGCCCTCTCCTTCTTCCTCACCAAACCCACATTCACCCATGATAATCCATGCTAGGTGTTTCTTCCTGCATCCTATCAAATTTCTTTTAGCACCTAATCATAGACTTTCGGAAATTTTGATCTGGAATATGGGTGGAATGAGTGTCTTCCGGAGAGATATTTTTGGAATCTGTATAGTATGTTCCAGAAAGCAGAATCCAATTGATTGGGTGCAGGAAGAAACAGTATCCATCCTAACCCAATTAAGTTCCAATATTCTGTTTATCAAAACATAATCAGCAAACAAATATCAGTAGCACTAAGCCTCTGGAGTTCATTGTCTCTTACCAAATAATATGGGGTTTGTGGAGCTGGAAGTGGAGCTTCAAAATGAAAAGATTGACAATGTTAGCAATCACAAGAATAGAGTTAGCTGTACGGAAACCAAGTTTTGTAAGAAAGATTGATAGGGTAGCCCTTTTTAAATTATGACGAGCCCACGTCCAAGTGCGATTTGCCATTTCTGGATAGGAGGGATGTCTCAAAATTAAGGGGAATTTTCGGTGTCAAGCAATTTTGCACTCTCAGTTTCTATGTACATTTTATCGGAGTGGTTAAAAGACTAAACTGTCTTCGTTGTTATCCTTATTCCCTTTTTATCACCGTACTCTTTTTTTTAATAAAAAAATGTTAATTGTTAAAATTTGTTAGTGAAAATGTTGAACTTACAACTTCTTTAATTCTTCTTTCCAAATCTTTTAAACCAACCTTATTTCTCACAAATATTAATGGTGGAGAAGTTGATCCCACGAGTTTACGGTCTTCTTGTGATCATTGTCACAATCACTTTTGTGAATGAATTCAAGAAAGCAAGTGTTTTGAACTGTATAATTTAAAAGCCATTTCTACATTGTGCTATCAATTACTTTATAAACTTTTTGGATTACGGAACTTATAAACTTTTTTCTATGAAAAAATATCTTAGATTGTGCAATTTAAAAGTTTTTTTATGTGAAAAACAACTTTCAAATAATGTAATATTTTGTAAAAAAGAAAAAGTGGTGAAGGAGGAATTCATAATGTGTGTTGAACACATAAGGTTATGGCATTTATAAAGAGAAAAATATAAAAACATGGGTTTAAGCGCGTTAATTTAAAACTATTGTAACTAACAATATGTAATGATATTTTAACAATTTTAGTATGTATTAAAGTTTGTTATAAATGTGATCTATTTTAAGTTCTAAAAACTTAGTGGAAATATATGCTAATTGATCACTTGAGTTAACAAACTTAATTTTGATGTCTTTAAATATGATCTTTTCTCAAATAAAATGAAAACTAACCTGTTTGATTCTTTATTAAAGACAAGATTAGAATTAATATGAAGAGTGCCTTGATTGTCATATAAATTTCATTTGAGTGACATCTTTGAATTACAACTCTTTAAGTAATTATTTAAGCCAAACAAGTTTACAAGTGATTGAGGTTATAACTTTATACTCTTGCTTTTGCACTAGATCTTGCCACAATATTTTATTTCTTGCTCTTCCAAGATATAAAGTTATCACTAATGGAGACACAATACTTGTAAGTGACCATATAACAAATATTTTTCCAGAAGATCCTTTAGTTATTGTAATATGCAAATGACTACTTTATAATAATCTACACATAGGGAATTCAAAAATTAACTCACCACACTGACTTACAAAAGAAATGTCAGGATGAGTAACAATAATATAGTTTAATTTTTCAACTAATCTTTTGTACATCTCAAGATATGAGAAAGGCTACCCTTAAACAAATTTTGAGTTCATCAACTTAGTTTCTTTCAAAATATCCAATGCATACTTTCTTTAAGGTATAAAAGTATCATTGTTGGATTCTCCAAGAAATATTTGGGTTTGTCAATATCTTTGGTCTGAAAGTGGTGATAAAGGTGTTGTTTCATCTAGGAGATGTCATGTTGGTCACTATCTGTAAGAATAATGTCATCAACGTATACTATTAAATAGATACACCTAACACTTAAATGACGATAAAAAACTAAGTGATCTATCTCACAATAGTCATACCAAATTGTTGAGCGACAATGATAAATTTTTCAAACCAAGCTTTAAGTGACTCTTTCAAGTCATATACATCCAGAAGACTCATCCTAAGCAACAGAACTTGGAGGTTGTCCCATATGAATTTCTTCCTACAAATTCTCATTAAGAAAAGCATTTTTTATTTTAAATTGAGAATGTACTTCGATGAGTGATAAAAACTTTAACAAGAATTAATCAAGAATATATTTTGGTTAATTAATTTTTTACTTGACATAAGAGGTAAAAGAATAGACATGATTAGGCATAGTAATATTTAATTGAGAATGTAATTTTGATTAAATTTATTATGATTAATATACAAAGTTCTTGTTTTTATTGAGAATATACTTTGGTTAAGAGTGAGAACGTCAACAAATTAATTGAAAATTTACATTGATTAATTTAAAAATCTAAAACAATAATCTTTAGATAACCAATGATGAATCCTATTTTGAAAAAACAGTGAAATCAACTTATTTTCTTTATCATTGTGTTTATCTTTTTAAATCTTTTTATACATTTATTTATCTTTTGTTATTTTGTTATTTAATCTTTTATTGATCTTTATTTTCTTTATTATTTTTGTTTTTCTAATCCTTTTATATAGTTTTTATAAGAACTATTATTTTAAGAATCAATTTCATGTTCGTTGGGAGACAACTTAGGGTTGAATTTATCATTTTTATTTTGTTGGCTACTATCTTAACAATACTGAAGTTGTTATAACTAGTAATATTAATTTGATCGCGTTAATGACAATGTTATCACCCATATTTCTTCTATTATAAATAAAATACCCTATATGTATATTCAATACAAGAAAAATTACTTCTACACATAGTTTTCACTATATTCAATACAAAGTTTGAACAAAAATTCCAAATTGATTTTTAATTTCACTATAAAATGTTTTAAATATAGAAAACAACTCAAGATGATTTTTCATTAAAAACAACCAAGTACATCTGGAATAGTCATCAATAAAAGTGACAAAATACTGAAACCCAAAATTTATTTTAACACGACTTAATCCCAAATGTCAGAATGAACTAAGAGAAAAGAAGATGAAACACGTAGTAAGACACTTGTAGAAAAAGAACTACAATTGTGTTTTACTAATTGATACAACTCAAGAAAAATTGGGTAACTTAGACAAATTTGTAACAAGTTGTTGCATCTTAGCAATGTTATGACCAATATGTGCATATGTCTGAAGATAAAAAAGATCATGAGAGTCATATCTAGTGTCAGTTATTTGACTCTTGTAAACATATAGAATATTTGGTAAAGAAGATAATACAATCAAGGAAAAAAATGAGACGATTAAGGATAACTTAAATGGTAACTTAAGAACATCAATAACAATATCAATGGATAGGAAAGGAAGAAGATGAATAATACCAACACCATGTGAGGAAACCTAAGATCCATTGGCCATGGTAATGGAAGACAAATAACTTAAAGTATACATATAAGAGAAAAAAGATATATTATCAGTAATGTGATATGTGATACTTGAGTCAAGAACCCAATGGCATAAATAGTTAGAATGAGTGAGGCTACTAAAAGATGTGCCTATGTAAACAATAAAAGCAATGGAATTAGAGTTCTGACAATTCTTATACCGCCATTTGAAAAATTCATTAAAGATGGTAAGTTTATTGAAAGAACAGACGACATAGGAACGGTAGAAAAGGTCATAGGTGTGAAGCGAGTGAGAATAATTACCGAAAGGAAAACAATCCTAAAACATTAAAAAAATTCCAATGATACTTGATCAGGACAAAAGTTGTATGTCTAGAAAGAGGGTGTCAATTTAATGCTGGTGGTAGTTGTCTAAGAGGCCATCAAAACTCTAGTGTTGACAATGATAATGTCAATGATATGTCAAAAATAATAACTTTTGAAAAAAATTAAGACAAACAATGGTGATCCATAAAAAAGGCAAAGAGTAACCATTGGATATTATGTCAAAATAAAAGAAAATGGGACACAAGATGAATCCCTAATACATTGAACACATAAAGTTATACATTTCTAAATAAAAAAATACAAAAAAATTAGTCTAAGTTACTTACATTTAAAACTAACATAATATTATAGCTAACAATATCTTAACAAAATATCACAATCCAAAAGTAATACAAATCGAATAATTCTAAAGTAAAAAAAAACTTACAAAATGCACCATCCATAAGTTTTTTTATGTAATAAAAGAAATTTTGAAATACTCAATCTAAAAATATTTTTTTATAGACAAATGTGAGAGTTTTCGTATTAATCATAACACTGAAAGAAACTATGGGTGGAAAAAGAAATCCCCTCGGTGACGTTTAGTTGTCTACCGTACAGTGCACAATCTTGGAAGTTTGGATCAAAGATGCTCAAAATATGGACATTTTCTTTCCGCACTCCCCCATGAAAATTTTTGGAACTT